TAAAATCCTATTTGTTTACCACTAAACAACAGCACATTGCTGTGATGGTTTAAAAGACTTTTCAACTAAAACACCAAGATCTTTTTTCTATAACACTGTTAAGGTTATTTCCATCAAAATTATTCTTGTAATTCAAATTGTAATATCTTACATACATTACCTTGCATTTATTATAATTAAAAGCCATCTGCCATTTATTTGCCCAACTCATCAAATAATTCAAATCTTTTTTGTAAAGCATCAGCATCCTCTTCATAGCTAGCAATATCCAAAACCATTTAATCAAAAGCAGATTTAAATAATTTATTGACCATTCCTCCATCTATGTCATTGATGTAAATAAAAAAAAGCAAAGGTTATAACATTCAACCCTGAAGTGCCTCAGTCCTGGCATTAATCCAGTTTGACTGAACTCCATCATGAAACTGAAAGCATGTTGAGTATCCAACACAATTTTAAACTTTGTTGAATGACTTTGCAACGCACGTTTTCATCAGACTTCCAAAACTTTTCCCACCGTTGATGCAAAACTAATAAGCTTATAATTACTTTGACAATTTATATCTCTTCTCTTAAAAACAGAAGTAACATTAGCGAACTTCCAGTTCCAATCTTCTGACATCTGCCCACTATTGAACTTGAAGGACTTCCAAAAAATAAAACGCAAGTGGCTCACGTTTAATCCTTAAGCTCCTTCAAAATCCTTGGTAGCAATGAATGTTAATACTAATATAGTAATACCACTACTAGAATTATAACTATTAAAAACTATTAATTAGTATTAACGTTAACTTAACGTCTTAAGTATTGCAAAAAAACTGGGCTTATTTGCCTAAAAATAGCTTTTAATTTTATTACGAATTCCGGTACTCCCCAATTTAACTCTGTTTTCCTTTTTAAAGGTAATTAAAATAAAATATTAAACCACCAGTTTGATAATAATAACAATAATAATACGCAAATATTTCTACTTGCATATTTTTGGATCATACCTATACGTGTCACTCATAATTGATCATCAGTCGAGCATTCATAATTACCTCCTTGCCGTTGTATTTCAATACGATTGGAGAGAATATAAATGCGCTACCTATTATGGTAAATATTTTATTTTTATTGCCAACAAAAAATACACTTGGTATTGTTGTACAGAATACAAATGAGAACTCAAAACCATTGTTGAAATGAGTTTACAAAATTTTGTATAACCTAGCGAATGACATTGAAACTATTTCTCCCATAAATGACGAGTTATATTTTTCAACAAATCTAAATTATTGTGTGCTTTAATTCCATTTTCATTTATCTGTATCTGATGTGGACTTTACGTCGAAACATATCACGATAAAATGAAAATTGAAAACGAAGAATGTATTTTTGTGATATTTTCTCAACCAAAAACTAAATAAAATCCTTGCACTATACTAAAGATCACCAACTACTGCAATTTTGAATTCAAATCTTGATGAAACGTTGAGCCACCTGGAGTACAGTGTATTTTCTATTTAGCTGTCACGCTCTGATTATAGAAGACACTATTTCTAATCGTCTAGCTTATCTTTGGCAGAGTTTCATGATGCAGTCTAGCGTTTGAAGACCTACACAACTGTACAAAGTTTAGTCTATTTCTGTCGGGTTTTCATAGAAGAGTCTAGTGCTTGAAGATGCACATAATTTTTTAACTTTTAGCCAGTCTCTGTCGAGTTTTCATAATATAGTCTAGTGCATGAAGACGGATATATAAGCTGTAACATTTATTCATTTAGCCCATTTCGGTCGAATTTTCATAACGTAGTATCCTCCTTATCTCTTTCAAAACTGTCAATCTTGATATAACATATCAACCATTAGGCCATTCAATCCCATAACGGTTAACTTTACGTTTCTTTTTTTTTAACTTTTCTCTGACCGAACTTCTCTTTCACGTGACTTTACTTTTACTACCTGTTTTCGCTCGTCTGATCCCAGCTATTTATACGTCTATCGCTTAGGCCTTCTAGAAATCTCCATAGCCTTGGCATCAATGAATTACAAACACAAAGAAATTAATTAATAATACTACCTACAAACAGTCTTTCATATCTGACACTGATACTTGAAGATGCACATACAAGTTGTGAACATGAAGTATGTTTCTTTTGAGTTTTCATAACATAGCTTGGAGCTTAAAGATGCACACAAGTTTTATAGTTACCTTTGCCACTGAAGGTGACAAAGGTTAAGTTTCTCCTCTGTGTGAGTGTGTTTGTCAGCAATATTTCTCGAAAATGGCTGAATAGATTTGGACGAAAATTGGTATGCATTTGGACTATGGTGCAACTTAGAAGTGGTTAGTTTTTATAGTGTCAAGGTCATAGCAAAGTCATGAAAATGCAAAAAAAAATCCCTATCTGTTAACATAGGGACCAATTTTTCACATAATTTTTCCTCTATAATTCCGCCAAATTCCAGAATTTTATGAAATTTGGTGGGCATATATAGAATATTATTCCTCATTCACCTGCCGAAAAGTGTCCCTGTCCGTTAATAACGACGGACATATGGACACGTTTTTGTATTTTTTGAGGGACGAATATGATCAATGCTGCGTGGCGGAGGTATGCTCTCTATTGAGTACCCATCTAGTTTTAACATGTTTCTGTCAGCTTCTTATAATACAGTCTGACATCCTTTTTTATGAATTTTCTATTATCGGAGTCTTCATGTATAAATTATTAATGTGTTCAGTATTGTATGTGCTCTATCCTGATAATACATCTCTACAAGTGTGATACGCGAATGAAGACTGACGGTCTATACATTTAATATTTGCTTCAACGAATATGTCACAAATATATATATATTTTACGTAAAACTCAACAAAGGCTGTTTGCGCAAAATCGCCCTTAATTTTAAACAGATATACTAGAGGAAAGGCTAGTTAATATAAAGCTCCCACTACCAAATCCTGGGCTACTCTTATCTATTCTTATAATGTATTCACGACCACTAACTGCGGCGTTTTTATGATAACGATGCACGAACAATGAGTCTTCAGATTTACAATCCAGTCATGCTAGCATTAGTATAAGCCCGGCCCCATGTCAGAAGATAGTGTAGCACCTTTATTTATGGAGCTTCTGTTGTTTTTAGTATTCATATAGTGCAAACATGAATTGATAAAATGATATGAAACATATTGCCAATTCCAGAAGACATTTTTTGTTTCTTAAATTTTGAAACATTTGACTGAAATGGTCATATAAAAACACATTATACTAGAGTTTGTATAAGTTTATATCTGCTAGGTGGGGCTATCGACTTGGTTCAAGTTCTGCTGTTGACTATAATGTATACACGTTGTAATCATTCTAAAAATTAAAAACGTTACATGAGCTAACTGAAAGAAATGGGCAATGTCCAAAAAGGCTTTATTCTAAGATGTATTAGCCCTATTAGTTCAAAGTGTTCATTGTTAAAGTCACCAATGTTTCAGTGCAGAGCAGTCGCTCACTTTCAACAATGTTTCTGTGTATACAGCAGGTCTTCACGTCAACTGATGAAGATGCAGTCCATACAATATTCTGAGTCAACTGATAGTTCCTTTTCGAAACACGCCTGAAGAAGGTCTTACAGATGTGATAGTCATTTGCTGTTTACCATCATCTGTGTGAAAACAGTAGTTTTCATTGTTGTTGGATTTGGCAGAATACGGTTTTTAATATTTTCTTAAAATTCGTTACTGTAAAATTTACCAATTTTTATGCGTATGGTAAAAAAAAGGAACAACTATTATAAAATTATCTTAATAATGAAAAAAATCAATCAATTATATTTATTCTATTACTTAAAAGCAGGATCTAAAACGAAATTTTACTGATAGAATTAAAAACTATATTTTCACACAAAAATGACACTGCTAATAGTAATCTTCATATAACACGTATGGTAGCTATAACTCAATCTTAAACATTCCTGCACTTCTTTAATTGTCCGTAAAATATCCTAAAAGTACTAAGACTTGATATATAATCAAACAATTAACACAAACTATTCTCATTTCTTGACACCCTATTATCATAAGAAGTACGAAAACAGTACTAAACTCAAGGTTAAAAAACGAGTTATATTTTAGATATTGCACTAGCCTAGCTAAATTAATTGTGAAACACAAACACACACACACATACAAATATATACACATAGTATTTCGCTTAAATTTTGTTATGGTTTAATGAATTAAAACCTAAAAAATAAAGCATAAGATATAAAAACTTATTTTTTCAGTTGTGTTAAAGTAAATGGCTACAAAATATTTCATTGATTAAAATAGAAACGTAAAACATTTATTCCAGTCGATGTTTGTTTTTGAATTTCGCGCAAAGCTACACGAGGGATATCTGTGCTAGGCGTCCCTAATTTTGCAGTGGGAAGGCAGCTAGTCATTACCACCCACCGCCAACTCTTGGGCTACTCTTTTACCAACGAATAGTGGGATTGACCGTCACATTATAATGCCGCCACGGCTGAAATGGCGAGCATGTTTGGTGTGGCGGGGATTCGAACCCGCGACCCTCAGATTGGGAGTCAAGCGCCCTAACCACCTGGCCATGCCGGGCCTATTCTAGTCAAATTTTTTAAATTATGTTTTCAAGTAAATATGAAATCTGGATAGTTAGGAGTTACTTTCTATGTACATACGATCATTACAGGACGAATTTTACGAGTGCATTTAATTAATTACCATTCACTCTTGAATAGTTTTGATTGTGAATGAAAGTATCATGTTTTTTTTTCGATAGGGTGCGCTATGCAGATAATGTGTTTTTGACATGTTTATAATTAGTTTGGTTTGTTTTTTCAATGTGCTTATATTACTATATTATTATTATTATACCTTAATAAATTATTTTTACGTCGATTATTTGAAAATCGTCGTCATTTTAAAGAAAAACAAAAATAAAATTTTCTCAAATGGATATGATTTCTTTTTTCTAGAAATGATTTGTTGTTTAATTTTAAAATGGTTCTCCAAAAAGAAGATTTTACGTTTTACACAAGTTAAAGGATTAGAGTTTTCTCTGACAGACTTAAAAGATAGTATTTAATCATCCACGATTTACATCTTTACACAGGCCAATCCTGCTATTAAGGTTTCTTGATAAAATATTCTGACAATAGAAAATTGCTCAATGCATTACTGGTATTTAATTTATGTTCACCAGTAAATGTCTTAAATGTAATGATATTTTAAATAGAAGATGCCAAATATGGATGTGACATCTGAATTAATTGATGGTTATTACAAACTGCTGTGTAATGAGCAATAAGTAGATTGCTTATACCAAAGAAAAAAAAACGTTGCAAACATCTGTCTGACACACACATGCAATTATATCACGTGAACTATCTTGTGTTCATTATAAAGTCTACGTATGGTCATTTATGTAAAATAATTCAATAGCAATAAATACATTCTGAGACGTCCTGGGTTAATTACTGTTTGTTAGCTTGGTATAGCTTTAACACTCTCTAGTCATGGTAGAGCTAGTTCGTAAGATAAATGCAGAATAATATTATAATACAGTCTTGGCCAAAATGTTTGCATACTATTCTATATTGATGTTATTGTCTACATGCATGGAGCAGTTACCGAGTAAATGCCCGAGTAGTAACAGAGAAGGTAACGTATGATCGGACAAACATGTACGAGTTGTTATTCTTGTCTGTTTAAATTGTTTTGAGCATTTTTTCGTCAAAACCACATACACACCTGTTTTGTATAAAAGGGTGTACTTTGGTATAATCTTTTTCGAAACAAATCAGCGCTTTTCTCAGATAATTTCTCTGGACTTGGTGTACAGTCATGCCTCGTCACTTACCAGTGTACTGTATCCAGAATCCTGAAACATCATCGTTGTTCCAGGAGATTCCACTGGTAGACGCAGAAAAACTACTGGTCGAGATGACCTTGTTTTAATCAGGTTAACACGTCAAAGCCGAAAGAAGTCTTGCAACATCTTACGACAGGAATGGCATTAACACATTCATTACACGGTATCCAGAAGAATAGTGAATAAGAGACTG